TGTGTGTGTGTGTGTGTGTGTGTGTGTGTGTGTGTGTTGTACCTGCATGCTATGGTGCACATGTAGAAGCCAGAGGATTAGGTTTGGGAGTAGGTTTCCTATTTACATCTTGTTGGAGGCAGTCTCCCTCTGTTCTGTTGTTCTGAAGCCTTGGTGATTCCTGTCTTGCCATGGGCATGGCTGGGATTACAGTCTGGGATTCCTGCTTTCTCATGTAGATTTTTCTGTGGCATCTAGGAATTGAAGTCAAGTTGCCAGGCTTTTTACCCATTCAGCTAGCTCATTCACTCCAGCTCTTAATTCTTAAGATTCCAGCAGTGTTTTTAACAAGTAATTTACCTGATAAATCCATTATCATTCTTAACACTTTTGGATTTATGCAGTATCTTTATAAAACTCTAGAAAGCCAGAATAACTTTTAAATGATTCTAGGGACTCTTACTTGTGTTCTAGTTTCCAAAAGCATTCGTTAAATTTGAACTTCTTTGTATTTACTGTAATTGTCATTGCTTTCCAGGCTTAAAAGTCAATATGCCTTGTAAAAATGATGTATTGAGAATAAACCACCAACCAAAGAGTACACGTGGAGCGACCCATGGCTCCAGCTGCATATGTAGCAGAGGATGGTCTTGTTGGCCATCAATGGGAGGATAGGCCCTTGGTCCTATGAAGGCTTGATGCCCCAGTGTAGGGGAATGCCAGGGCAGGGAGGCAGGAGTGTGTGGGTGGGTGGATGGGGGGGGCACCCTCATAGAAACATGGGGAGAGGGATTGGGATAGGGGTTTTCTGGAAGGGAAACCTGGAAAGGAGATAACATTTAAAATGTAAATAAATAAAATATCCTATAAAAATGAATACGTACGTACATACATACATAAGGAGAAATGATGTACAGAGAGGATACATTAGGTTTAGTTCTTTTCACTAGAAGGAATACTAGTATTAAATTAAATCATAGCACAGTAGGGATAACCAGTAAGGGAGGGGGTCTCCTTATTTTATTCGATTATGACTATCCTATTTAATTCTTACTAGCATATGTATGTACAGCAGAATTGTTATGTTGGAAGGTAGACAATAGAGGGAAGAATAGTGGCATACACAAAGAATTTATTTCCATAAAATAAAACTAATTGAAGAAACAGGTTATAGCTTGAACTGATATTTTTCTTGCAAAATCAAGAGTAGCCTTGATTATTGTTTCGATAAGGCAGATTTATGGATAAGAGTTTATGTAAGCTGGTTTTGATAAGTAAGTAAAGAAAGTAATGATATAAGTTGCTAAAAAAAAAACATTAGTAACTAAGCCACTTTGATTATAAGGAATTCTGTTCTCTGTATCTAGTATGTGTATACTCTAGAATTGCTAGATACTCTTTTTGTAACATACACACATAACACACACAAACACATGCAAATACACAACTCTGACCCCAGGTCAAAGCAATCTGTTAACACCTTAGGAAACTTGTCTAAAGAAGCCAGCAAGTAGGTGAAATGTGTATTCTCTCCCACCAACTCTTATAAGATACTTTTTTTTTTATGGAGGCAAAAGTCAACTCAACTGTTGTAAGACCCAAGGTGAAATGTCAATGTAGACTGAAATTGAAAATAATTTGATTCTCAAGAATAGTAACATCAAACCATTAAATAAGTACTGATAAGTACTGAAGGAAGAACTGAAGACCCCCCACAGAGGGGAGACCCTCACTCAAGTCTCCGAAGGTCGCGGCCACCCAATAATCTGCTCTAGACACCCTGAACTGGAGCAATAGCTAGGTTTATTCGGGCATGTGACAGCTAGCTGCTGGTCAATTCGTTTGCTCACGCAGGAGCTGAATCACCCCCGACAGCCAGTTTGAGAGGGGTTTTAAAGGGAAAAACCACAAACCAGGGAATGGAGAGGGGGAGGAGGGGTTGCTAAGGTGGCATAACATAAAAATAGCGGAACATTCCAAAGGAACCCAACCTACATGAGTCAGGGTCTGGTGAAAACTCTCTGGATGCTAATCTTTCTCAAGAATGTGGTCCTGCCCTGTTACTCCGGCCTTGCCCTGTCACTGTGGTTACCAGCTTGGTTCCCAGCTTGGTTCCCAGCTAGCTCACTTGCATTCTTTCCTTTCTTTCCAGTTCCAGTAATGGTGACTGGTCTTTCCACATTCCTAACTTGCTTCATGGCTCGGTTTCTCAGAAAATTTTCCATGTCCTTATAAAGAAAGCCTAAAGAATATTTTATATGTCTAAAAAGGATTCTATATACCCAGTATCTATAATTTTTCACTCTACAGAACAAAGACTTATGCATTTGTCTTAACATTACCTTCCTGCATGGCACACAATGAGGTGAGCCTTTTGCTCATCCATTATAAGGGTAATGATCATCACCTATATATACAAGATAGGTTAACAAAGAGAAACCACATCTAATGTAATTAATACATTGTAAAACATGGAAACTTTCAGAAATAAAGTGGCATAAAGTTTATTTGGACAATTTAAAGCTAATAGAATAGATAAAGCAACACATGAAGGCTCTCCAAGAATCTGTTAGGCTGCTTGTATAGCAATCCTTCCTCCCACATATAAAGCACCATTCTTCCCAAGTGAAAGTTTTTAAGAGAAAAGAGAAGGACATTTCTAGATAATAGGACTTGTTTGGAGGTGGAGGAATCTACTTTCTATGAGCTAGCTACATTGGAAGAGGGAAAGTTAGTAAGTAAAGCTCATGCTGGAGCTATCAGGACAGGAGATCAAAGAGTGATTGTTTCTGGGGGCTTTCAATCTCCTGAGATCAAAGTACTCAGCCAACTATTTGTTCTAAACCCCAACCACAGCTCAAGATTTTGTAAAGTTTTAAGACAACTTAAGATATAATGTAGAAGACGATGATGAAATCATACAGAATTTAGAGAACAGATCTGGACAAGTTTATATAGAACTGAGGATCTAACATGTAAAATTGGTCAGGGTGAATCTAGAAATATTGGTTTATTCACCGACCAGTAAGAAAATATACATTAGTGAAGTATTGTGTTCAATTTTTTATGATAGTGGAGCTTCCTTTAGAAGACTGAGGGCCAAAAACTCAGCATTGACATTTAATTGATTTGATGAAGAATGGAGAATTGTAAAGATCTATGGGCAGAAGAAAGAACATGGTAATTCTCAGTGTAGTGTATTGGAAGTAAAGACCTATATTTTCTCCCTTTCTCTCTCCAGAATTAGTATTGCTCCTTTGCTCTGCTTCCAAGGAGGGCACCTGTCACTATCATACTCTACTATGCCTTCAACCCCCCTCCCCTTGTGTTCTTGTAACCCAAGTGACTCAGCATCTAGTCAATTTCACATCTTTTGTTTTTCCAGTATTTAGAATGGGAAAGGAGAAACATTTTGGATTGTTGGAAAGACTACAGAGAAAGAACCTAAATGACCAAACCTCAGTTTTAAAATCAGGGATTTCCTTCACAGTAAACTCATCTTTTGTGAAGAGCGATTACTGTAGCCTTAGTAAAGAACTTTGGCAAGGCAGAAGTTCTTTAACTTCTCCCATAAAGTGTATTTTCTAAACCTGACAGAGCTAAACAAGTGGAGTTGTGTTGGACAGAACCATTTATACTGACAGATTAATAGAAAAAAATAGACTTCAGTGTTAGTGTTTGATTTTCAGTCTCTTAAACTTCTATGCATATTAGGGTGATTTTTCCTTGTTGAATGATAAAGGTAAGCTTGTCAGGGTGATGAATTTGGATCAGAATAATCTGGCTGAAATTTGCCAGAGGGATGATTTAGTCAGTCTGTTAAATTTTTTATTGTGATGCTGATATGTCTCTGAAAGAGACAAATGTACTGGAATAAAATAAATTGTATTTTTCTAGTTGTGTTTCATAGTCTTTAATGAAAACAGTGCTTCAGAGTGTTGGAATTAAAAACCAGTGTCACAGGCTATGTATCAATTTTAATCCTTCCCTTGTCTCCTCAAATAGACCTTCATCAGATTCTGTTAATATTGATATTGTCGATAATTCAAAGTTATACAATAATATGGTATAAAATAATTATATATATATTTATTTATTTCATTTTTTTAAATTGTCCTCCAGAAATAAAGGCATCATGAGAGATCCAGAAAGTGTATATGTATTAAGGAGCAGTTTGAATACAACACTTCAAATTATTAGTTGTCAATAAGATAAAAGGAAAAATGCAGAGAATGTTAAAGGATAATTAAATCAACTAATGAAAGTGTTTGAGGGAATGCTGAATCTCTGTGGATATGCATATGTATCCACCTTTTGTACAGACAGTTGTTTTTTATGTCTCTATTGAGTATGAAATCTTAAAGACGGGAATTTTTCTACAAGTGTTGGTTTATAAAACTCAGAGTTTTCACAAAAAAGAAAATATTTCATCGTTTTATGTAATTTATCCTTAAATCATTTACATAGCCAAGGAATGCATTAATAAGATAAGGTCTCTTTGAACCTTACTTTCTCTTTAATCTTCAATTTAGATTTTAAAGAATTAAATATTAGGTGTTCCATCAATAAATTTAAATAGGAATAGGTTCGTCTGAACTAATGGCTGAGTAAAATGATGACATTCCTATATTAAATATGATGATTTGGTATATTACATTACACATTTTCATTTACTTCATAGAGTGTAGAATTTTTATGAGCAGTAACTCAGAAAAATGTGAAATGACTTCGTGGAGTCATTCTCTACATTTAGGAAAATCTTTAGCAGCTACTGTTTTTAGTTGTTTTGTGGAATACCTAGTAAAAGATTCTAAATTTTCTGTACCTTTTTCTTTAGTTTCAGCTCAAATACTCAAGAGCAACCTTGTAGCGATGGAACAAAGCATTCTTCATCTGGAGCGTAACATCAAGAATTTCCCCAAAGCAGAATCTCATCATGATAAGTTTGTGGAAAAGATGACGATATCCTTTATTTATTTAAGCATTTGTTTATGTGTTTGCTTGTGTCTTTCAATCTTTTTACTTTCTGGTTACTTCTAGACTCATTATTCTGTCACATTAGATGAATCCATGTATATGCTGCTTTTTTATATTAGCAGATTAATTTTCATTTCAAAATGTTTTTAATCTGGTAGAAGAAGCAAGAGAACAACTGGATCAAAAAACTGCCATCTTTTTAAGGACAAATTTTATTTAGAAGCCCACAAGATATACAAGGTAAACCTTAGGAAGTTTATATATTTCTGAAAGAACAAAGCAAATGATCTCCTTTAGTAATCAAGTGCTTAAAGGATAGGATCAGCATGAAAAAATGACCTTTTGAAATGGGGTTATAATTTCTTTCTTCTTTGAACATATTCACATGCATTTTCTGAGGGTATACATGCATTTTGGATGACTAATATTAGTAGACTGAAAGATAAATGAATAGATACATGGATATGAAGAGAAATGAATTGATCAGTAGCTGACAGATTTAAATCAGCTGAAATATATGTATAGAGGTAATAGTAAATTTTTCTTGCTATATAAAGAGATATAGATAGATATAGATATATGAAAAAGAAAAATGTGAGAAACTACATTTAGTTTGAATTGTTTAATGGTAAAACTGGTGTCTGAAGATAAAATATATTCAGAGATGATTTTTTTTCTATTACGTATTTTCAGAAATAAGAGCTATATCCTCCTCCTCTGGGTTTAAATAAGTATCTTGAACTGCAGATTGATTCACTAGTTTATATCTCTAGAGGGAATAAATACTGGAATTTCTTTATCAGATAATAATTCCTTCAACAACTGTATAGAGCAACCTTCTTTCAAGGTTAAACCTATCACTTTCTCTGCTTGCCTGTGTTTCTTTCCTAGCCATTTTAGATGTTATGATACTAAACCTAAGAATTACTTAAGGCTGGTACTTGGCATTTATATACAAATTATATTCCACACTTACTGAAAGGATTTCACGAACAGCTTGTAACAGATCACAGCAGACTAGACAGTTCCATGAGGGTCGGTTTATTCAAGAGATAGGAGGGAGAGCGGAAAGGTAGAGGAGTGGAGGCCGGCCATGACCATGTGGAGAGAGGGGGAGGGGAAGGAGGAGGGGAGAGGACAACCTGCAGGTGCTGGGTAGGGGAGAACAAGAGTAAGAGAGAGAGGAGTGGGCAAGCAGCCCCTTTTATAGTGGGCAGGCCTACCTGGCTGTTGTCAGGTAACTGTGGGGAGGAGCATACCTGGCCATTGCCAGGTAACTGTGGAGGTGGAGTTTAACAGATTACTAACACTTACTCTTTTGCCTCATTAAATAATGCTATGTGGTCCTTTTGTGATACTACATTTGGAAATAGGAACATTGGATGAATAAGTTTGTCAGCCAGTGAAAACACGCAATCCTCACCTATACAAGGCTTATATAACTGGATGTAGTAGGAAGCTCAATATGAACCATGCACTTTATTGGTGATTAGATTTATTTTTCTTTCAAATATGTCATATTGTCCTTTGGGGGGAAACACACCTTTTTCATTTTGACTCTTACCTCATATTTTTAAAATTTAATTTCTCATCCCCTTGCTCTATAGATTTTTTTTTTTTTACAGTTGGCTTATGGCCACATAACAGCTTGCAACATGTGAGTCTTTGTTGCTCATTTTGAAAAAGAAAAAAGAAAAAACTAATTTCAAACCATCATGAACTTGGCCTGAACTCCCTATTTTATTTCTTTCTTTATGCAGGTAATTAATCATTTTAAAATGAAAATCCAGAGCCTTCTGTATCTGTATGTTACAGATGAACAGCTATTCTTCATTTAAGTGGTACTAAAGTGTTACTGTTTTTCCACAAGAGGATTGGAAACTGTATTAAAATGTATAGGATTGTTATGTTGCATTTCATATCAAGACAAAATATGACAATTTATTATAGAAAATGAAATATTTAGCATCTTAAAAACTATAAATTAAGAAATTATACTAGTGACATTATTGCTCAAATTAGTCTTGTTCTGGAAATCTCCATGAGTGCCCTGTGAGAATTTCACCCTTGTAGAAAGACATAGCAAAATGCAAAATGATCACATGTGTGCTCTATTTTTGTATCTTTTTAGCCATTGAACAAAGAGATGAAAAACCTGACTGACATGGGAGATTAGAACCAAATTCAGGTCCTATGGAAAAACAGCAAATTCTCTTAACCACTGAAAATCTTTTTAGGCCTTGAATTCTGTTTTTAAAATAAATACCGTGTTCCCACGTGTAATAAAAAACTATAGATATTTCTATTACTTGCCAATAAACTGGTTTTTTGTTTCAGGTTACTGACCCTTTACATTCAGTAACTGTAGTGCAAATATGACAGCACTTTACCTAATTAACTGTAATCTAGATGTAAGAACTTTGAGTTTTATTAAAAATTGACAACACCTCCATGTTATAGCCTCTACCAATAGTGACAGAACTATGGGCTGCTGAATGTAGGTTGAATCCTCACTAGATAGCCAAGTCCGGCTGTGTCCAACAGCATCCCATGCTTATTCTTTGTCAGGATTAACTCAATGCTTATTATACCATACAGTAGACATTGTCAGATGTTAAACTACTGCAGTGAACACATGGAAAACATAACTTCAATATACTTGCAGCCTGGCATTTACATATTCTCTATATTACTGTTCATTTAGCAATTATTATATCATACTTCTTAATATCTACTTATCTATCAAATATTCATCACCTACCACAATGTATGTACTCAGCATATGTTTGTTAAATCAATAATCCAAGCCTTTTCTTTGATGTCCTCCATATAGAAGAATAAGAGGTAGGAAGCATTCCATATAATTGTTTCTCAAAAATTCTCCATATAAATATTGTCAGCAATTTGAGTAACATTGAATCACCAATTTAGATTTAGCATTTTAAAAAATACTGTCAATTTTAGAAGTTATGATCTATACATTCTAATGTAATTGTTTTGTTTTTTTAAATCTAGAAAAATAGCCCAAAAGATGCCAGTATGGTGATGCAAACTTGAAATGCTAGTGGTTTTAGGGCTATAGCAAGGGCATTTCTTGAAAAGATTTTCTAACCCCCCCAAACATACACACACACACATACACACACACACACACACACATGGGAGAGGGGAAGGGAGAGGGAGAAGAGAGAGACTGCTTTGCTCTTATTTTGCCCTTTGCCATAGGAGGACACAACAGGTTCAGGACCACTTGAATGGCATAGAAAAACGTTTTCTCAAATATATATATATATATATATTCCTGTGAATGTATTTACCCTATTTTTAGATTCTGTAAAGCAAACACCTTTATAATGAGGTATGTCACCTTTGTCTCTCCTTCTACTCTGACTCAAAATAAAATAATGTAGGGAAGGAAGAAAGATCACTTTCTTTACTGGATGATGTGTTGCTTAACACACCTATAAAAAGACAGATCAAAAGAAGGGAATATAAAGTCAATGAATGTATGACCCCTCCAAAGGGGCTGGGCAGTATTTCTAAGGACAGTTACATAGAAGTCTGAATTAAAGACAATTGTGATCAATTGCAAGGGTGAGAGATGATTTAACAAGATGTGATGTTCAGATATGTCTTAGATTCTCTGTATGACATTCCTTACCTCTGAGTAGAGGGCAGAACACATGTCATATATGAGAAGACAAAGAGAATCATGTGTGTAGCTTCTTTTTTTGTCATGCTTATGAGATGAAGAGTTAGGCAATTATAGTTTCTGTGACCTACTTCAGAAGGTTCTACCTTCTGAGTTTACTTCACTCTCCATCAGTTTATAACAGTCATTCTTCCTCCTGCTATGGCCTAAATATCTGTGTCCCATCTAGTTTCTGTTAACCAATGATATGTAAAAAGTAGTGGTGACTTTTGGAAATGGTTAAATATAAGAATAAGAATAATTCTTTCTTTGGTGGGTAAAATTTGTTCCTCATAAAAGCACTAGAGAAAAAAGAAAAAGAAGAGTTTCAAACTCCCCCAAACACAGAGAGAGGGAGAGGGAGGGGAAGGGGGGGAGGGGGAGGGGGAGAGGGAGAGGGAGAGTAGGAGGGGAGGGGAGGGAGAAGAAAGAGAGGTCACTTTGCTCTTTTTGGCCTCTGCCATAGGAGGACACAACAGTCAGGCACGAACTACTACAACCAGACGTGAATCTGGTGATGTGTTCATTCTGAATTCTTACCCTACAGAACTATGAGAAAGATTAACCTAAATAATCCAATGTGTCGTGTTCATCCAGCAAATGGGTAGAGCAAAACAAATGGAATTAAGTGTATAGGGTAATGAAACAGAGAGCCGCGCACAGTAATGTCTGTGTCTGCAATCCTAGCACTTGGAAGGTGGAGGAAGGAAGATGATCAAGGCCAGCCAGATGATCAAGGCCAGCCTAGGGGCCATGAAATTCTGTCCCCAAAAAAGAAAAAAAGTAAAGATTCAGCATACATTCATATAACCATAAAGGTGAAATGCTAACAATGCTTCAATGCTTCAATGCTAACATGATCATCACAGCCCTAATTATAGATTTGTTATTTTTCTTGTTTATTTTCTTAAGCTAATAGGGACCTACCTCTAACCTGTGTGCATGTTCAGTAAACCCTATATTACCAAGCTGCACATCTAGTCCTTGAATAATGGACTATTGTTGCTATTATTGTTATTTTTTTATTCTTATTGAAAAAATATCATCCAATAGAGTCTGATCAGGCTATTCCCTTCCCCAACTTTCCCCAGATCCTCTCTACCCCCCTATTCATACAACTCCATTCATTGTCTCTGTCTCTCTCTGTCTCTGACTCTCTCTCTCTCTCTAAAAAAAACTAACAATAAACACACACACACATACACAAAACACCACATAAAACCACAAAATTGGATATGAAATCATCCCAGTAAGACAAAAAATTGCAGAAACTACATGAGAAAAAAAAAGTCTA